GATAGATAGATAGATAGATAGATAGATAGATAGATAGATAGATAGATAGATAGATTAATAGATAGATAGATAGATAGATAAATGGAGCGTGCACTTTATTTTTTACTACAAGAAGACATTTTAGCTGATATTTTGTATCCTGAATAGCTGTGCGGCATACTGAAATCACTGTGTGACCGTCGTTACTTCTGTTACAATTAAATACTTAAAATACATTATTACTATCATAGCTGTTCCAGGCTACGACGCTTCCTGTCGTTGGGAAGAACGGCCAGTACGAGTACATTGACTTCTGGTTAGTCCCCCAGTTCAGTCCTTCAGAGGTTGCGTTGATCGGTTGAGAGTCACAGCCCCGTCTACTTTTACGCACTGTCCCGTAACAAAATTGGCGTCTCCGCTCGCCAGAAATGCCACCACGTTGGCCTGCTCCCTGGCTGTGGAGCATCGTCCGTTCAGGGGGTGGAGAGGACCCTGGTTTTCCATCGCTTTCTTCATCACGTCAAAACCCATTTTTTCGTCGAAATAGCGGTAGGCTCGGGTATAGACGATGGACGGGTTCACGCAGTTTACACGGATGTCTGAGAAAGAAGGCAAAACCGATAAATAAGTAAACAAATAAATAAATAAGTAGATGAGTAAGTAAATGAATAAATAAATAATAAACACATACACAAACTATAGTATAAATGAATGAATGGATGAATGAAGAATTGAAGGAATGAAGGAATGAATGAATAAAAGAAAGAAAAAAAAAAGAAAGATAGAAAGAATGAATGAATGTATGTATGTAGGAATGAATGAATGGATGAATGAATGATTCTAAATACAAATTTAAAAATAACATGAAAAAGGTGAGACTGTATATTATAGATACTTTTAGAAATACGTTTCCTGTAGGCCTACAATAGTGTATTGCATGGCATACTGTTGGGTAGTAACGAAACGTATTGAAAAAGGTCAGTTTATCAATCAATCAATAAGTTAGTCCCTCACTCAGTAAATAGATAAGTAAATAAATAAGCAAGGAAGGACGGAAGGAAGGAAATGGGGGAGGCGGGGGGAGAAGACAAGAACAAAACAAAGAAAACGGGAAAGAGGAAGGAAAGAATAAATTGCTGTGTTTTTCTGATTACATGAAAGCCTTTCGTTCTTGGGTAGTTAGAATGGACTCCTGTCGTGTAATATTTAGAGACTTCCCCTTGCAGGCAAAAGACGAGTACAAATCCTCCAAGAGGAAGACATATGACCTTATGCAGTTGCGAGTGCTGTAAAACCGTTACTAAATAATAAAAAAAGAGGAAGACATTTTCTTGAGTTTCTTCATTTTTCTGCCAACACGCTTGCCTCTGACATCTCGCTTTCTCAGATTTACAAAGTTCTATCTGACAATTTTGGCAGTTTTGAGTTCCTAAGACCATGAGGTCAGAAACCAAATGTGTCACGATGTAGTGGAATCAGGCGCTCGACAATTTTTCGGCACGGGGAGTTATTTATATCATCTGAAAGCTTATTCATTTGCCTTGATTTCAGTGAAAAAATACCCATTTAGCTTGAATAGAAGTCAAGATATTTACAACTGAAGAAGGTGAGGTAGCCTGTTTTCAGTGGTTAAATTAATAAGAAAATGGCCACCAAAGTTTGGTAACTTTAATGGCTTAAGAGTCCTTGAAAACTGAAAATTACATGTGTTGTACCTTTGAACAAGGGTTTTCAGTAAAATTTATGTGGAAATATGTTTTCATATGAACATAAAAGGTGTTTAGCCAAAGAACAAAATTTCGATAAAAATTGTGAAACTGGTGAAAAAATGCCTTTTTCTTCGATTTCATTATTTGACGAGCGCCTGCTTTATTTCACCATGATGCTTCACAAATGTTCTATCTGTCCATCAAAATCATAAGATTATTCGGAGTCGTCATCAGGATATTGAAAGAACTACATTCGAAAAGGCTTGACATAATGTGAAGCTCAAAATCTTTGACGTCAAATTTCTTAAAACTAGGTACTGAGCAGATAGATTTTTTGCAATTCTGAGGTTGCGAAATGATAGGTTGGTTCTGACAGGCAAGTTCGCTTCCTCAAAGTATGTGGTGGGCGTGGCATGGCTTGGCTCTAAGTTATTGCATGCAGAAAATGTGAGTGCCATAAAGGTAAGTATTGAATATCTTTGTCTTTCTACTGGGAAACGGTGGCCTCTACCTTTTGTTAGCCCCGGTCTGGTTCTGACAAACTTGCCTGAAATGTCCCCCGCGTCCTAAGAAAATAAAAAGTGTTCATAATTTTTCTGAATAGGTGGGGTTTTTTTTATACCCACACCAATACAATTTAGATTATTTAGGGGGCGGGCTTCCTATTCTGCCTACATTAACCAACTCGGGCTGAGAGGTATACAACGTTATAGCAGAAACACCGTGATACTCGATAAACTGTTTTTTCTAATTTGTAATCGTAACTCAAGTCTCCTACGTAAGACAGCAAAGCGCCTAACCACTACACCACATAATGCGCCTGTTTTTAAAAGAATTGGCGGCGTAAAACATTTGAGGAATCCATGGGGAAAACGGGCATGGTCACAAACTGGAAATTGTGAGGGTGTCAATTTTAAAAGATTGTACTCACAACTTTACATTTGTTTGATTGGTGTTTACTTTTATGTTTTTTAATGGGAAATCTAACAACAATAACCAACCAATAGTTGAACAGAAATACAGTTATGAGTCAACAAGGGTTCAAAATTGATACCCTCACGATGTTCAGTTTGTGACTATTCCTGGGGGAGCGGAGGGTGGGTTCGTGGACCCCTCATCTGCAATCAGCCATTTCAAATTCTCTTTACTTTTGGGTCCTAACGCAAGAGACAAACAGCGCGTCATGTGATCCAGCCCCGCCTTAGCCACGGCGCCGACGATGAACCTGCCCGTGGCAGTGGTGCTTCCGATGGAAGAGATGATGACCACTTTCCCTTTGGTCTTCTCCAGCTCTGGAATAGCCTCTTGGACCAGGAAGAACGGCGCCTTTAGGTTACTGTTGAAGACAACGTCGTATGACTCTTCGCTCTCTGACATGAAGCCTTCTGTGTGCAGACCCATCCCAGCATTGGCTACCAGAACGTCAAGACGACCAAATGCTTTTACTGTCGACTCGATGATGTTTTTCCTCACCTGAAAAAAAGACAAATAAACAAATATTTCCTTTCATTTGAACGTGTTGGTATAAGGCGGCAGGAAAATCATGCAAATAAAGTGAATAGATTTTAAATTTCGAGAAAGCGACACAATAAACCCCCCCTTTTAAATGCATTGACTACCACTGGCTGCACCATCGTCTGGAAGTTCTTGTTCGAGGTCACGGCCAATGCCCACCCTTCCAAAAAATATTGTCAGTTGACATTTCTTGACATTTTCGTTTTTTTATTTATTTATTTTTAAAAAGTTCATCCCATTTTATCATATAACTTCATTCTATTTAAGTATTTGCTTATCTATGTAAGTATTTTATTATTATTATTCTGGGGGAGGGGGAAGGTTGGGGGTGGGGAAGAATTTGTGAACCGGCCTTTCGAATAATCAAACTGCCGAAATGGGCATCAACTCTTTCTCTTGTCTCACCACATTGTTATAAGATGCAAAGAGAGGAAGTGGTAAATCGATGTCAGGTGCAGGAAAGTGTCAACCGTTATCTAGTGTGACCTAATTTTTTAAAGGCCTCAATAGAGAAACCTGTAATTGTAATCGACACATTTATATTAAATCAAATTGCAAGCAAAGTGTTCGAACACTGCCTGTCAGGGCCAACCGGAGCTGACAGAGATATACGAATACAATACCAGCAAAAGAAGAGGAAAAGCAAACATCTAAAAACCATAATCTCAATAATATACTGTCACCTGAGAATCGCAATATTCTCTCACCTGAGAATCTCAATACTCACCTGAGCATCTCAATATTCTCTCACCTGAGAATCTCAAAAATATACTGACACCTGAGAATTGCAATATACTCTCACCTGAGCATCTAAAAATACACTCTCACCTGAGCATCTCAATATACTCTCACCTGAGAATCGTTGACATCTCCTATAGCCGTGATGAATCTGTCTTTGGCGCCTCCCGCTGCTTTCTGACACTTGGCCATAGAGACCTCAAGTCTTTCCACGTTCCGACCACACAAGGTCACTTTGGCGCCTCTCTCGGCAAATACCAGGGCCATCTCTTCCCCAAGACCTGAACTTGCCCCTGTCACAATGACCACTTGGCCCTCAAACTGGCGGGAATAATCGTCTGGCATGGTGGATGCTGGAACAAATACGTTTGTTTTTGTATGAACTTTATTGTCCACCCATTAGACACAGATACGTTTTTTTCAATACCGAAACAAAATGTCGACTAAAATGAAAGGAAGAAACAAAGTAAAGAGACAAAAGGTACCTGGAGTTAAATATCAAAACAGGCAGAAATAAATTAAACACAGACTGTCTGGCACATTTCCCCGCCTTTGTAACGGTAGCAGCTGATGTTTGAGTGACTTCCTCCCCTATCTTCAACCCACGTGAGAGAAAAAAAAATATGACTTGAACATTGTATGTATTTGATTCATTGTAATGAAACTTTTGAATCAAGAACGCCACTGAACTTCGGTGTGCCAAGGGACTCAGTCATTGGGCAAGTATTTTTAATTCTGTTTACACAGCTCTCAGTCAACATCCTAAAGAGTATGGCATGATAAATCATCTGAACGCTGACGATACCCAAATGAACATCTTTGGAAAAGAGGAAGACATTTAAAAAATATTATGAATCTGGATGGACAGCAAACCTAAAGACGGTAAATCTGAGATTATGCTGACTGCATTCACCAAAAATATATTACTAAAGGTTTTTCAGGTATACAAATTAATGTCAATGATTTTGAGATTGTGTCCAATAGCTAAGATAAAAACTTAAATAATTGTTCAATTCATAGGCACAGTGGGGTGCTTCCCACTCATTGTCTTTTAAACATCATAACAATCTTCAGTAGCTAAATGTCTTTAGCCTGAGGGCATTTCAACTGCCCAAGACAACCACGATAAATTGAGTGAGGGAGAATGTGGGAGGATATAGTATAAGTAAATATAATATATACGATTATTCATATGAAAACAAATTAATATAATATATATGTGATGTGTGTGTATGTG